CCCAGTGACTGGCACTCCGCCAGAAGGATCCCTCTTCCCCATCTGTGGGCAGCCCCATCTCCCCCAGGGAGGACAGGAAGGACGCCTCTCTGGGTTATCTACTATTGAACCAGCTGTACTTTTCCTCCTTTGCCTTCTTAAATAAACCTTACTCCCACCCGCTGCCTCAGGACAGCTTCATGAAGAAACTTCCAGGCCAGGTGTGTGAGACCTGAGCCCTCAGCTGGCAGTCAGGAGTGTTACGAAAAGCGCTGCCCTTTCCCAGCGGGTGCCTGAAAACCGCTGCACCTGCTCCACAGGTGCCTGGGGGTGTGTTTTCAGGCCCGTGCTCTGTAAGGCTGTGGGCGAGGCAGAAGTGCCTGTCCGGTGGCCACCTGACCTGTCTCTTCCAGTACCCTCCACGCCTGGAGGAAGGAGGAGGGCTAGGTGCGGGAGAGCTGAGGGTGGGGAGGAGCTCCTCCCTCAGCCGGTTTCAGTTTCCCTTCCTCCCTGGCCGGGAGAAGGTCGATTCTATCGCTGGTTGTCTGACAAGGCGTGTGCTGTGTGTGCTGGCCTGTTTGCACTGCTCCGAATGGGAATGGAGAGGCCCAGCCCTAAATGGAGGGCTGTGGATGGGGCTTGGCTTTGTGGAGGTGAGTTGGATAGGGGGGTTGGAGGGCAGGCCTGCGGAGGTTTTTCTCCAGGTGGGACCTGAGGTGAGTTGCCAAACTCAGCCCTCCTGGCAGCATTGTGCCTTTAGAGGCCTGGGAACCTCTTTTTCCTTTGTCAGTTTAGAATAGATTACTCAGCCTTGTAAACTGAAGGGTTGATGGATCTGTAGAATAAGTTTGATGAGAGGATGAGCAGCTCTCTGGAAGCTGACATTCTTGGGGGTCCGGAAGGGGCTGGGTGTGGGGAGCTGAGGCGAATGGGGAGAGGGGGATAGGCTTATGGAGTGCTGGGAGGGAGATTTTAGTGCAGGCTGTGATTGTATCACAGAGGTTCTCTTGAGACAGGCTGCTGTAGTACCTCGGGTGCCTCCCTCCAGTTTTCTGTCCCCTACCTCAGTGACTTGGCTTCTTCCTGGTCTGGTCTCTAGGGTTGAACTGGTCTGATGACAGCCCAGCAACGCATAGCCCCCCATCTTGTCTCAGCCTTCCAGGGAGGAAAAGAGTGGAAGAGGGCTTGGCTTCAGATAGGCTGCTAATCCTGATGCCCTAGGTTACTGGGGAGTCTGTGCCTTCTGTCCTCTCACCTGGGTTGGTGGTATGTACACTTAGTGGCACCCTTCCCCCAACACACATGCTTTTAGAGTGCCATCTTCTCTAGCAGTGTCCCGTTCTGCTGGTGATGTGCTGGCACTCTGGAGTTAAGGGTTTGGAGATGGGCCTGATTAGAAACAAGTTTTTTCTGTTATGGGAAGTCTGTCCAAGGCTGCCATCTGATGTCAGCTCACCTTGCCACCTGCTGGTCATGGCTGAGTATTTATTGATAATGGCCTGGCCACTGCCTAGGGAGGCTGCTCAAGGTGATTCTGTAGCGAGTTGGGTAGGTCGTAGGGTCCTGATTGCCATGAGGTGAGCAGAAGGTCTTCAGGGGTTGTTGGGAAAGTGGGGCAGTTATCAGAAAGCCTGTGGAATCGTCACTGTGACAGGAGGGGTCACTGTGGGTTATAGGGTCAGAGGACTGAGCAGGGTTGGATTGGAGACTCTCCCATGTGTCCTTTTCCTAATGTGCACGCTGGCACAGCAGCTGGGGAGAGTCCAGCATCAGCTGAGGCCTCTGTCCTGAGGCTGACTGTCCCTGCAACTTGGGAAAACGGCAGTCTGGACTTGTCTTCTTCCTTTCCCCTTAAAAGCCGCACTGGGGTGGGGGGCAGCTGTTACTGCCATTCCTCGGCCCCAGGCTACAGGAGAGGTGCTTTGAAGGTTTGTTTTGAATCAGACAAAATCAAGAGGAGAAACAGAATAAAGACCCTAGCCGTGTTGCAGTCTTGGTTTGCAAAACCCCAAAATTCCTCCTTTGGCTTTAAATTCTCTCTGAAGAGAAGAGAGGCTAGTATTGCAGGCCTTTGCTCTAGGGGTATCCAGGGGAGAGAGAACGAGGGGTTCATTGAGCCAGATGGTGCTTGACACTTTCTGTTCAGACTGGGTTCAAACTCAGTCTCTGCTGTTAACTAGCTCTGTGTCGCAGGACCTGAGTCTCGGTTTTCTTGCGTGGTAATGAGGGATAAGGATGCCTCTCTTCAACTCCCCCGCACAAGGATAACTGTGAGGAATATATGAGATGTTTGTAAAGGGTTTAACACAGTGCTTGTTAATTGGTAGCTATTATTTTTTATTGAATGTAACTAGAGGATCCTTGGAGAAGTGACTGAGAGAGTTGTTTTATTATGTAGAAAATGAGAATGTCAGAAATGCCATTTTGTGCTGACCCCAGAGGCCATGCCCAGGCTTCTAGGGTCAGATGTGAGAACTGTCCTGGGAGGGTTTTTCTTTTGACTTTCACATCAATCCTGCTTCCCAGTCTCATTATTCAAAGAGGCTTGGGGACCCTTGAGTTCCTGAGTGTGGGCACACAGTGGAGCAGGAAAAGTAGTGTGCTCAGCCTCTTGCAGAGCAGCCATCTCTGGTCCAGCCATGATTATGGGGCCCAAGTCCTATGAGAATAATAAACCTGCCTCATATAGTTCTTATGATCAAATGGGATAATGTGTGCAAAACTGTAATGCGGTGGGCAAATAACTGATAGCTTATTATGTCCCAGATGCTGTTCTAAGTGCTTTCCTATATTACCTCATTTAATTCTTACAGCAGGGTATGATACAGTTCCTTATTGCCCATATTTTATTGATGACAAAGTTGAGCTCTTAGGAATTGTAATTGTTATTGTTGTCAGCTGTTGTGTAATGGATCCCCAATGGAAATCATGCATCTGAAGACCTGTTTTCCAGAGTAGGAATAAACCCAAATTTATGCAAATATGTCTGCACACTGCCTTTCTTTCATTGAGCTATTCTAACATCGCAAGCTAATTCTGGGTATGTTTGTAAAATGAATAAAAGAGGTCCTTATTGTGCCACTTATCTGTAGACTCTGTGGGGCTTATAGACTAGCACCTCCTTGGCTATGATTTTTAAGTGTCATTCATGTGGGACTTAACAACTGTTTTATGTGCACTTGCCTAATGTTGCCTTTAAAGAATGGGGTTGCTGCTGGATCAAAGATAGTTGATACTAGGAGGTGATGCAAGGCGTAACACAGGGATTGTGAATCGGCTTGCCTCAGTGCTGGGCAACACTTCAGTCATGTGGGCATTTGGACTAGAACTGGCCATTTGGCTCTGAGTGTTTAGGGTCCCATCTTTTTGATGATTCTGGCTGGCTATTTTACCTTCTTCCCTCTGCTCCAAACGATCTGCCAGTGAGCACTCAAATCTGAAGTCTTAAATGTGGTAGAGGGGAAAAAAACCTAAAAAACACCCTGTGCAAATAAGGACTCACTGCTGGTGGTGTTTCAAATGTGGGTGGTGCTCCTTAACAGAGTTGTGATCACAGCCTCACACTCATTCTCATTGCTTGTGTAGCGTGTTTACAGGGTAAGAAAAAGGCTGCAGCTTTGTGGTTTATTCTTTCTTTTTATGACAAGAATAACGTTTGTGAGGGTATGCCGCAAATAAAGGAGTAAATTCTGGTTAGGAATAAAAAGTGAAAAGCAACTGGTGGGGCTCCGGGCATGCTCAGCAGACTGGAGAGCTCTCGTTAGTGGAGACAGACAGGGCTTCATGGCACGGAGCCGAGTGCCCTGAACCGCACGGCGGCCTGGTGGTGCCGTCAGAGTGGGTATACTGTTCCTGCCATTTTACTGGAAAGTGGAGTGACTTTCCCAAGGTCAGGTAGCCAGATGTGTAATGGTGGAGACTGGACCCCAAATCTCTGACTTTCTGACTCAGAGACAAGCAGTCTCATCTTTGTAATAATTTAAATCATTTTTCCTATTATGTACACACTGAAGATTATTTAGAATATTACAAAGGAAGGCTAAAGTGGGGGATCATGGCCCAGGCAGCAGATATGCCACTGCTGATGTGTTGGTGGATTTCTCGAAAGACTTCTTTTGGGAGGGAAGAGGGAACATTTGTTTTTGTCAAGGCAAATTTGCTTGTTATTTATACGTCTCTGGG